TCCCTTCCCATCTCACTGGGTGGGGGGAGTGAATGCAGGACCGCATGGTCATCCTACCTGTGGGTGTAACCACCACAGCTAGAAATATCCAGGCTTTTTAGTCTCTCCCACTGCTTGAGAAAACCTCAGTCCTTGCCTTGGAACACCTAGTCCCTTGGACTGCCCTGCGCTTGCTTGAGCACAGCGGGCAAAGGAGAGCACCTGAGAAAATCTGCAAGACCTATCTGACTGCTGCAAAGTGCTGTGGTGGGAGAAGTCCTGCAAGCTGGATGGAGAAGCTCCATAAAAGTGCAGAGTCCTGACACAGCCTCCAGCTATAAAATTAAAACAACTCTCTTACACAGAGAACACAGTCTAGAGGATAAACTTTAGGGTCTGTTTTATCACCAGATAAGTAGGCAAGTTGTTGAATGTGACTATCATCATGGGTGATATAAAATCTCCCTAGAAGCCTTTGGCTTAAAAATTTGATTCAAAGTGACAAAAATACTGACTTTTGAAAGTGACTTCTGAATATGAATCTTCAGTTAAAAAGGATTGTTCAGGTTCAGCTTAACGAGTTAAGCCTACTATATATTCTAAGCAAAAGTTAAAAAGATACTGAAATGCTCTTTCAGATGACAGATGGTCAAGTAAACCACTGCTCCTTCTCTAAATAAACCTCAGACACACAGCTCTTTCCAGGAACGTCTTCAGGGTTTGCATTACCACTGATAATTTTTGCCAAATAATGGAAAATATTTTTAAAAATTTACCTTTTGTTCTAAGGCAAAACAGCTAGAAGACAAACCATAATAAAATAAAACTAAAATTCGGCCAGAATGTAGATTTTTATGCACAATGTTGAGTTCATCTTACCTGTAAAGATCTGTAATCAGTCCTTCATTCCAACGATAATGAAGACCATTAAGAAGACGCTCATGCTGTCCATACAAGCAAATGTAGTTGGAGACAGGAAAAGGTTCCTTTGAAAAGCAGGTGATACTATCTACCATATTATATTTATTGATATGCATCCTGAAATAATTCCCATGTCTTGCCTCTCCAGTTATGATCTCCATCCCCTGGAACAGAAAAGATACGGAAAGCTGTGGAGATGGAACAACACCTGACTTGGCATACGTACAGCATCAGCTAGGGTTTTCTAGCTGATATTTACCATTTCCTAAAATTCACAACCCCCCCCCTTTTTTTTAATGGAGAATACCCATTGCTGGTAACACTGTTTATACAGCAAGGCACTTTGCTACGGTTTGGACTCAAAGATATTTTTGTGTGGTTTAGACCTTGATTAACTGCACACAGAACTGTGCAGCATAGGACTGCGTGCGCAGCGTGGGCTTGGATTCCCAATCCCAAGTGCCATTTGAGACACCTAAGGGTATCCAGGCCATCCGAACTGCGCTGGCAGTTATGACACAGGATCCATGGGAGACCTGTGACCTCCTGGAGCAGCAGCTGGAGGTCAGGAGGGATGCCCTGGGGCATCCCAAACAACATTAGAAGCCTCTCTTTAGGCAACTGAATTGAACTCTCTTCATCCTAATTTATTATGCAGGGTCTATATTATTGCATGCACATGGCATATCATAATTCACTAGAGGATACTATCCTGATGAATGAAGAACACACTGGCATCCTTTTGCTCTCTCTCCACATTTATAACTATACATATATATTTTTATATATGCAGAGTACAAATTTCTGGCATTGTATAAGCTACACGATTGTAGGCAGAAGGTTGATATTACCACAATAATCAGTTACAAGCAAACTTCAATGTCACAACTCAAAGATTTATCACAGACCAATTAGACATTTTTGGCTTTGTATAGAAGTTTTCCAGTAGGCAGAGGTGTGATGTGTTGGAACAGCCCTCCAACAATGAAAGAAATACCAAGAAAGACCCTGTTCAGTTCTAAAACAAACTTCTAAATTTTATAAATGGCACCATGTTTTAAACGGTAGCCTGCAACTGCAGGAGGCTGGACTTGATCTCTCAGGACATTTCCTTCAGGCTATGTTGCAGACTTTTAAATGATGAGTTACTGTTGCCTTTAAAAATATATGTGCATATACTTACATTACATATATATGTGTACACAAACATATACACATATATATATGATTTAGAATCGTTCTAAGAGACTCACTTTTGCTAATTTGAACAAGAGCTGCCAAGTGTTGCTAAACACCAGCTCTACTATCAATAAAAGATGGATGTTGATTCTCAAAGTGTAGCATTTCGTTTCAGCTAGTTAAATCAATCACTTAATAAAAGACAAAAATGTAAAAATTTGTTTCAAACCTCACATTGCAGTGGGATAATCAAATAGCTTTAAGCCATTTTTTTAAAAGCTGTGTTCATGTTCCAGTTTTATTTATTTCTAAAACCTGTTGCAAGGTTTCTCACCTTGAGAAAACCAAATATTGGTAAATATGGAAATAAACATCTAAGAAGTTCAGTTAGTTGTGTAAGTGCTTATAGTGCTTGAGTGCTTATGGGTAAGAATGAAGGGGAAGGCCAACAAGGCAGATATCCTGTTGGGAGTCTATTATGGACCACCCAACCAGAACGTAGAGGCAGATGAAGCATTCTACAAGAGGCTGGCAGAAGTCTCATGATCACTAGCCCTTGTTCTCATGGGGGACTTCAACTTAACAGCTGTCTGCTGGAAATACAACACAGCAGAGGGAAAAGAGTCTAGGAGGTTCCTGGAGTGTGTGGAAGATAACTTCTGACACAGCTGGTAAGTGAGCCCACCAGGGGATGTGCCTCGCTTGACCAACAGAGAAGGACTGGTGGGAGATGTGGTCGGAGGCCCTCTTGGGCTAAGCGACCATGAAATGGTAAAGTTCTCAATTGTTGGTGAAGTAAGGAGGGGGATTAGCAAGACCACTACCATGGACTTCTAGAGGGCAAACTTTGGCCTGTTCAGGACACTGGTTGAGAGGGTCCCCTGGGAGACAGTCCTGAAGGGCAAAGGGGTCCAGGAAGCCTGGACATTCTTCAAGAAGAACTTCTTAGAGCCCAGAGAGTTGTGGTGAACGGCGCTAAATCCACTTGGCAGCTGGTCACAAGTGGTGTTCCCCAGGGCTCAGTTTTGGGGCCAGCTCTGTTTAATATCTTTATCAATGATCTGGATGAGGGGATTGAGTGTACCCTCAGTAGGTTTGCAGATGACACCAAACTGGGTGGGAATGTTGATCTGCTTGAGGGTAGGAAAGCTCTACAGAGGGATCTGGACAGGCTGGATTGATGAGCCGAGGCCAACTGTATGAGGTGTAACAAGGCCAAGTGCCAGGTCCTGCACTTTGGTCACAACAACCCCATGCAACACTCCAGGCTTGGGGAGGAGTGGCTGGAGAGGTGCCTGGTGGAAAAGGACCTGGGGGTGCTGGTCAACAGTAGCTGAACATGAGCCAGCAGTGTCCCGGTGGCCAAGAAGGTCAATGGCATCCTGGCCTGTATGAGCAATAGTATGGCTAGTAGGAGCAGGGCAGTGATTGTCCCCCTGTACTGGCACTGGTGAGGCAGCACCTCGAGTGCTGGGGTCAGTTGGATGAACATGAGCCAGCAGTGTGCTCAGATGGCCAAGAAGGCCAATAGCGTCCTGGCTTGTATCAGAAATAGGGTGGCCAGCAGGAGTAGGGAAGTGATTGTGCCCCTGTACTGGGCACTGGTGAGGCTGCACCTCAAGTACTGGGTTCAGTTTTAGGCCACTCACTACAAGAAGGACATGGAGGTGCTGGAGCATGTGCAAAGAAGGGAAACAGAGCTGGTGAAGGGTCTGGAGACCAAGTCTTATGAGGAGTGGCTGAGGGAACTGGGGTTGTTTAGTCTGGAGAAAAGGAGGCTGAGGGGAGACCTTCTCGCTCTCCACAACTGCCTGAAAGAAAGGTGTAGTGAGGTGGGGGTTGGTCTCTTCTTCCAAATAACAAGTGATAGGACAAGAGCGAACAGCCTCAAGTTGCACCAAGGAAGGTTTAGGTTGGATATTAGGAAAAAATTCTTCACTGAAAGGGTTGTCAAGTATTGGAACAGGCTGCCCACGGAAGTGGTGGAATCACCATCCCTGGAGGTACTCAAAGGACGTGTAGCTGTGGTACTTGGGGACATGCTGTACTGGTGGACTTGGCAATGCTAGGTTTACGGTTGTACTAGATAATCGTAATGGTCTTTTCCAACCAAACTATTCTATGATTCTATAATTCATACTTTTCACCAGCTGTACCTGATTTATACAATGCACCCAGGCTTAGCTGACTCTGGATTTGTTCTTATGCAAATCTGATGGCAAATACCACCACTGCCTTGATGTGCTGTGTATTGAATTTCAAAAGGAACATGTTCCCCATGACTGAGAAAATGACTTGTCTCTCTCTATAGAATCCAACAAAAAGAAAGCCATCCTGAAGAAGAGAGTACTGAGGAAAAGACAACATGATAACCTCCCAACCTGTGCTGAGACAAATGGCTCATGAGACAGGTACGGTGCTAAGCCACCAACTCTGGAAAAAAAGGGTCAAGGAGTTGAGCTGTAGTGCCCCATTACGGGGCTATTTGAACCCAAAGTGCCACAAATAGTAATGAATAGTTCAAGGCATTAGGGCTTCACAAGTATTACCTGCCTTCAAGGACCAAAAATCCCTTCAGTTTCAGTTGATTTTATGTCAAAGGAATTAAGAACTGCAGTAAAGAAGTTAATCAGATAATCTTATCTGTATGTATTCCACATTTACAATGTGACAGTGAATCTACATTAAAATAAACATTTTCAAATAATCACAGTGATTTGTTTTTATGTGGTTTGTTCCATTCCAGAGTTTCCTGATAAATCCCATCTCCAGAAGGTCTCTAAATACATACTTAAACCCATGCTTACTCTGGATATTTTTTTAAGATGCATGGTACCTATACATGTACCTGTACTATCCTAAATAAGAACATCTTTCCTAATGTAGGATGAAACAAAGAAGGGTTAAATAATGGAACTTACGTGATCACACAGTGCAAGTTCTAAGTCCAAGCGGATGGAGATTTCTGGTTTGGAAATATGCAAGTAATTATAACCTCCAGGAAGAACACCTCCTGCCATAAATGAAAATATATTTATTAAGTCATAAACAAAGAAGAACATAAAGTGTTTTTCTCTTTCTCCCATAATATATTTTTTTATTATTTACTAAATGGCTCTAAAAAGAAAACAAGGAACTTATTTTGTTCTGGTGGACTTCATGTTATAAACTTTTTTTTGTCACTCATACATATTTGTGCAGTAGCCACACATTGAAAAGTTCTAATTATAGTTTTATTAATCTTAAACTTGGAATAAAGACACTGAGTTTCACTGGAAACACTTCAGATCTACTGCAATATAAACGAAAGCACAACTAGGTCCATTATGAGCAAAAATCTGCAACGTAAGCTTTTATTGCAACTCGCCTCTCTCCACTGACTATTTAAGGAGCTTTGTGAATCCTACTGCCATTAGATGGCATCTTAGATGAGATGGACCTACTCTTATTATATAACAGTAAAAATACCAGAGAGGGTATGAAAGTATGACAGAAAACCATTTTGACATACCTTTAATTTTACACCCCTTGTACATGGGGATGAGTCTATCTGAGTCTTCCGGTGGCTTAGAAAAGGGCTTAGGGATTGGATCAAAGAGTTTCAGCATAGATGTAGCAAGCTCGAAACCAAGCTCTTTTGAATTGAAGTTGCTGTGTGTCCATTCATCTACATAATATCTCCTGCAGTACTTTGTTAAAGGACCTGCAGCCCTGATGCTGACATCATTAGTACAGAATTCAGTATCGATCACAAGTCTTCCATCAAAAACAAGGCAAGCATCATTAATTGCCTTAAAGGTTTCATAATCCACCGTCCTGTAGGCAAAGCTAAAAAATGCCTAAAAGAGAGACGGAAACAAGCACAGGTTATTATACAGTAGCTACTGACTAATTTCATAAATCAAAACCTATGCTTCATTCTGAATGTTATTTATTTTAAAATACAAGAAAATGAAATAAAATATGATTTTATATACACAGACAAATCCTTCTGATCCAGTATTTACAGTTACTAAAATTAAAACAAAAGACAGTAGAAGGGAAAATTAGTAAACTAGACTCATCTACTTCTGGTTATTAGATGAGTTTTATATTAAAAACTCTAATATTAACTATGTCAAATAGCCTGAGTGGATGTGCATATTTTCTGTGTTATTACGAGCATATGAAATAGACTTGAGCCCTTTATGAAGTTGGTTTTCTTCTTTCAAATGCTCAAGCCAAACTGAAAAACGAAGTGATAGAAAAGTATATTGTACATTGCATTTTAGCAGGATAACTGTATATTGCAGATATTTTTCCAGCTGTTGTGCCTAACTGTTTACCAACAAACTATGTTACTATGGCTACCACCACAGGGATATTCAATGAAATGGAACAATAGGAAATTCAAATTGTTCAGAGGAAATGTCTTCCTCATTCAAACTACAGCAGCACAATTTAAGCCAGTGGAAGCTGTAGAGGCCAAGAAATTTGTGAGAGGTACCAAAGGACTGAATATTTACATGAAAGGAAAGCATTCAGATTGGTTACACTTGATAGCGATGTGTATTTTGGAAAGCATATCCAGACTTTGCCAGGACTGAAACATATCTCTAGCTCTTCTGGATCTGGATAATATGTGCTTTAGGAGGCAGACTAACCTGCACCTCCTTATGCTTGGGACTACTGCTCCTGCAGCAGCTGGAGCTGGCCACTCTCAGAGACAAGGCACGGGGCTAGCTGGACATCAGGAATATCTAGATCATCCAGGTCAGCCCAAAGGCAGCTGTGTCTGTACCTAAAGTTCTTGGTACATTTGGAAGTCACTGAATCTGAGAATGAGTACAGCAGATACCTATTCACTATGTTTTGGTTTGTGAGACTGAAAAAATATGTGACTTCCATTCTTTGAAAACAGTGCCTGTGCTGTCTGACTGCTCCTTCCAGAACTGGCCCTCAGGTAGGGATTTATCTTGGGACCAGCATCTACTGAAGCCATGAGCTTGTCTTCCCCACAGGAAGATTTCAAGCGCACTGAAAGAAAATCACCCTAAATCCTTAAATTCCTCTTCTAAGTCACAAAGAAAAAAGCTAGTGATAATTCCCTTCTTTTGTCTTCTTGTGGCACCTGCATGGTCCCTCTCCTGGGACATGAGCAAGCAGATCAGACCTCATCTCTCCAAAACAGGAGCTAAGGCAGCACTACTGCGACAAGCACCACAAAGCAGGCGGTGCTGGAAGCGGCCACTGATTCATCCTACACATTAGGCATCGGTGTGGAACAGATGTGCACACAGCACGTCATGCAAAATGTGCCGGATGCCTGAAGAGCCGCTTTGAAATCCAGCGCAGCGCGAGAGCGAGGACTGCAGGGTCCCGCCACAGCCCTCGCCCTTTGTCTGCACGCTCTGCACAGACTCCGTGCATTGATTAGCAGAGAGGAGCTGCTGAATTGATTTAGAATCACGCATAGCTGATGTTTCTCTTGATAGGTGTTTTATCTGGTTTTCTATGTTGCTTAAAAGTGACTTTAAAGAGGCAAAAGCTCATCTGAAATCTGGAACCAAAAATGTGCTCGCTAAGGACAAAAGTGCCTACGCTGATGAAGCTGAGAGAGGTGCTGGGGAAGGTAAAACCCATGTCACCTGGAGGTGTCTCAGTTCTGAAACAAGAAATGAGGAGCCGGTAAGTGAGGCTGGGTCACTCCAGCTTGGAACTCAGGGGTACAGGCACAGAACAGTCCCTGTGCCAGGCCCTCACCTCCATTAGGGCACTGCAGACAGCTGTAGCTTCTCCCACTTCTGCTACGAGCAGCATCTTTGTAGTTTCCTCTTACAAAGGATAAACTGAAAGCTAGCAGTTTATCCCAAAAATAAAGTTAAAAAATAAAGTAAAACAAGAGGGGACCCTGGACATTGAGGATTCAAAGTAGTAAGAATGACAAGATTGAGAGATGTTTTAAACAAGAGCATAGTCTGCAAATGGTACAGAGGAAGCGTGACTGTCTCATTGCTACAATACAGCTTGTGGAGCTACAGAGCCTTTATGAAGAACCTTTCCCTTAATCAGTGCCCTCAGCTTTTAAAATGATTAGACAACAAGTAGAATGTTGGTGCTCACCATCAAGAAGTATTACTGCACAGGCTGAGGAAAGGGTGAAAAGTTACCAGATGAGCATGTGTTATCTTGCTGTCCTTCATCTTGAGCAGCACACAGGAGATAACTGTATCAGGGCAAACCAGCATCACTAATATGTCCTTCCCTTAGTGTCAGCCTGAGGGAGGACACGGTTATGACCTGGGTAAAGGTATTACCCAGTTATACCACCAAGGAGCTTTCCTGTAGACTAAGGGCAAGCATCAGATGCTCATGACCAGCTGGATTAGCCAGCTGGAAGAAAAGGCACAGGAAGCAAAGGAAACTGGAAATTTTAGCAACACTGGTATGGCTGAGATGCGGCAGCAGAGGAGCCAGAGCCTCTGGGTTTGTTTGCATATAAAACAAGTAATGAACTTCATACAGTTAAGGGAATTCTAACCATCTAGTAGATCCAAAATCAGGGTAGCTCTGCCTGCAAGGACAAGGGGACCACACAGCCCCATGTCCTGCTGGCTGACAGGCAGGACGGTGTCACCAGAGGGGAGGGGAGGGGACGGCTGCAACCTCCAGGCTGGGAGCCATCTGTCAGCCCCGGAGGGGAGGGAGGGAGGCTGCGGCTTT